CCTCCTGCTGCCCGTCCCCCCGCTGCCCACCCTCCCCGCTGCTTGTCCACACTGCTGTGGTCCTTGTCATCTTTCACAGTCACCTCAGAAACCCGCCTGCCCATAGCTGCACAGAAATGTGGTTGAGCCGGCCTTGCTGAGCGGTGGTAGATCTGAGTGTTAGGGCTAGGCACAGCATCTCTGCTGATGAGTCCACACCTTCTCCTGGTCCCGAGACCTACTCTGGTATGCTTGGGAAGCCACAGGCATCGAAGTGTCCCAGGAGGGAGCAAGTGTGAACACGGTTCCTCTTTGCTGGAATGCCAGAATAAAAGGATGCCCATGATGTTTATCGAATATGGAATATCTGCTTTCTCCTACAAAGATTTCTGGTGTCTTTCCAGGCGAGGCACAACTTTGGGATCGTGGAGATAGATGGAATGCTGTACATCCTGGGAGGGGAAGACAGGGACCGGGAGCTTATCTCCATGGAGTGTTACGACATTTATTCAAAAACCTGGACGAAGCAGCCTGACTTGACCATGGTTAGAAAGGTGAGGGCTATCGCCAGGACTGTTTCTGCACACATTGGCTTCAGAGTGTTTCTTTCTGGTGTTGGTTGGTTGTTGGCAGTGGGAGGGAGGCACCCAGCATCACACCTGCAGGGTGGGTGCTGTGCCCACGGGCAGACACTCTACCACTGGGCGGCATCCCCAGTGTGCCTCGGCATCAAGGTCCAGATTCTCTCCATTGGCGGCTGCCCTTCACCTCAGGGCCACACACCAGAGCAGGAGGGAGTGTGTGTGAAGGTTCATCCCACCGGGCTCTAAGCACTGCTGTATGCAGGGTCTTCAGTGGATAGACACTTCATGAATCTGCTCAGATTGGGAGGAGCTGGACCTTTCCCACATGTTTCTTACCCTACAGGAGTGGGAGAGACCTGTCAGTGGCTCCCACGACCCTGCATCCTCAGACTCCTGCTGTAGGAAGACACTGTCTAATGAGCATCAGGCCATGGCCCTGCTTCATGTCATGGGTATCCCTAAGTCTCTCACTGTGCCCATCTAGATAACCAGTTACAACAGGAATTGAACAGCTCCTACTTGTGTAAAATCTTAAATCTTAATGAGAAGAAAGCGGTCCTAGCAGGCCCCACCCACTCCATGCCTCACTCCATGCTGCCCTAAGTAAGCACTCTGCCATTGAGCTGCATCCCAGTGTTTGAAAGCACTTGTTAAAAGTGAAATTAGGAGCTGCAGAGATGCTCAGTGGTTAAGAGCACTGGCTGCTCTTGCGGAGGACCCAGGGTTTGATTTCCAGCATGCATATGGTGGCTAATAACCGTCTGTAACTCCAGTTCCAAGGGATCTGACACCCTCTTCTGACCTCTGGGCACTGCACAACATGGGTGCACTTAACACACATGCAAGCAATACACTCATACACATAAAATAAAGATAAATTTTTTTTTAAGTAAGATAATGGGGGGGCAGTACTGGAGAGATGGCTCAGCAGTTAGAGCACTTGCTGCTCTTACAGAGGACTCCTTTCCCCACATCCACCTGGTGGCTAGCAGTCGACTGTAACTCCAGTTCCAGGGTTTCCAGTACCGTCTTCTGGCCTCCAACATTGTACGCATGGGTACCCTTACATACATGAAAGCAGAACACTCATATAAATAAAAATAATTTTTTAAAATCCTTTAGTTAGCCAGGCCTGGTGGGCCATGCCTTTAATCCCAGCACTCAGGAAGCAGTAGCAGGCTGATCTCTGAGTGCAAGGCCAGCCTGGTCTACACAGTGAGTTCCAGGCCAGCTGGGGCTACAGGGAGAACTTGACTCAAAAAGACCAAAAAAAAATCCTTTATGTAAGATTATGGACCAGTGAGATGGCTCAGCGAGTAAAGATGCTGCCAAGCCTGATGGTCTGAGTTTGAGCCCAGAGCCCAAGTGACAGAAGAGAATGGCCCCTCCGGGTGGTCCTTTGACCACCACATGTGCACTGTGGCATACGTACCCCCATACAAATGCTGGGTGCTGTGGTGCACGCCTTTAATCCCAGCACTCGGGAGGCAGAGGCAGGCAGATCTTTGTGCCTTCGAGGCCAGCCTGGTCTACATAATGAGTTCCAGGATAGCTGGGACTACAGGGAGACCCTGTCTCAAAAAGACAAAAAATAAATAATTAATTAATGTAAAAATAAATTTGACAAGTAGGATTGTGGGCCAGCTGAGATGGGGTGCAGTGTCTATGCTGGTATGTGTAAGGCTCTGGCTCCACCCCCAGCAGGGACCAGAAAAATAAAGAAAAGTAGATCTGCTGGCTTCTTTTACTGATGGTAGAAGAGACTCCTTTTCTGGGAATTTCCTGTGTGTGCCCCAGCTCTCCTGTCCTCAGAGTCCTGCCGTGCTTGGAGGCACGGTCATCTGCTGTTGGGAACCAGCCCTTGTCTCTCAGTGCTCTCTGGACCTTCTGCCTGTCCAGCTCTCATGGTAAACACTGCCCTTCCTGCTCTTCTCTCCTTTCAGATCGGCTGCTATGCAGCCATGAAAAAGAAAATCTATGCCATGGGTGGAGGGTCCTACGGAAAGCTCTTTGAGTCTGTGGAGTGTTACGATCCACGGACGCAGCAGTGGACGGCCATATGTCCACTGAAGGAGAGGAGGTAAGAAAAAGTGTGCGTGACTGTTGGTGTGCTGCTCCTGGTACTTCTGAGGCCACAGAGCCTGGGATCTTCCAAAAAAGGAAGGCCCATGTGCGCATGGAACACAGAGTGATGCAGTTAGAACAAGCTGGGGAGATGGGCAGTGGATAGAGCACCCACAAGTAGGCATGAGGACCAGAGTTCAGATCCCTGGCACGTAGCACCCATTACATAAACGCCAGGGAGGCCTGATGCCCTTCTATAATTCCAGAACTTGAAAGACAGAGATGGGGATCCCCAAGCAGGCTGGCTAGCTAGACAAACTTGATTGCTGTGCTTGGGTTCAACTGAGAGACTCTGCCTCAATGAATAAGGCAGAGAGCGATTGAGGAAGACTTCCAGCATCAGCCTTGGGCCTCCGCACTCACACCCACGTGCATGCACACCCCCCACACATATGCCCACATGTGTGAGTATGCATATGCACATGCTACAACCACAGACACATATAAAGGCAAAACAGAAGGAATAGGGTTGGGCGTGCTGGTGCGTGCCTGTCATCTTAGTACTTGGGGGGCCGCTGAGGCAGGAGGCTTGCTGTGAGTTCCAGACCAACCTGGGCTACAAAAAGACAGACAGACAGAGGAACTAGAACTGAGGTCTTGGGTTCTAAGCTGGCACCTCTCCTCTGGCCTTGCAGGTTTGGAGCGGTGGCCTGTGGTGTTGCCATGGAGCTGTATGTGTTTGGGGGTGTCAGAAGTCGAGAGGACATCCAGGGCAGTGAGATGGTCACCTGCAAATCAGAATTCTACCATGACGAGTTTAAGAGGTAACGGGCGGCCCTGCGCAGCTTCTGCCCCTCTGAGCTTTCAGAGACAGGTCTTAGCTGTGCTGTGTTCTTACTTCCAGTGACTTTGCCGAGTTACCCACTTAGAGCTTATGTCCAGTGCATGCTGGATACTTTTCCAGTGACTTCAGAAGTGGGTGACTTAAAGCTATGGAAATGGGTCTCTGAAATTTAGAGCAGATCGTGTTATTTAGTTGTTTATGATCGGTCCCTACCTTTTAGGATGACACTTAGGCTCCTGAACATGTGTTTTTATGACAGGCCTTGTCTGCTTTTGCTGCTGCTGTCCAGCCCAGGGGCCTCACACTTAGCCACTCCTGATGTGTGACTACCTCAGCTCTCGGGTGCTGTTTCTGCCTGAAATTTCTCTTCTCATTATTCATCCAATTAATTTGACCTTTTCCAAAATCATGCCTAACTGTCACTGTCTGGAGAAAGCCTTCTCCAGGCTTGCAGTCTTCACGCTCATCTGTGATCACCTCATGTTCTGCATGTAACTGCCCTCTGTGAACATCTGTAGGGCAAGGTCACGCTCATCTGTGATCACCTCATGTTCTGCATGTAACTGCCCTCTGTGAACATCTGTAGGGCAAGGTCCCATGTAATGAGCTCCATATTAGCTGCCAGCTTTGGACCTGGCCACTGGCGGACACTCCATCATGTGCTGTTAATCTGGTTAACTGTGGCATCTGAGATCTTAAAACACTTGACAGGGGCCAGTCAGATGGCTCAGTAGGTGAAGGCCTGTGCCGTCAGGCCCAATAACCTGATTTCAATCCCCAAGATCTGACCCTCAGATTGTCCTCTGACCTCGACATGGCTTACACACACACACACACACACAAATAACAAACTTAACACACCAGCCACCGCTCCCACACACTTAACCATTGTAAACACTAAGCAGCCTCCTATTCCAGTGACCTGTTCAGATGCCAAAAGGAACCTGCTGTACCAGGAGTACCTCTGTCCTGTTACCAGAGGGGGTGCCACAAGATAATATTTCATACTGGTTTAGATTGGGGCGACAGTGAGCAGATACCAGAAGGTTAGAAATACGTGCAACTGTTGCCTGATGGTTTGTGCATTTTGGATATAGGATTTTTCATAGCCCTTTTTGCTTCTGGTCATTAGGAGTCAACTGCCTTAGGAGAAGTGACTAGACAACATGTGAGAACAGTTTACTGTTTGATATGTAGGGAGGAAGCAGAGAATTTGAAAGACTTGCTGCATTTATTTCTCCCGTAGTATTGTCACCATGGGAGCCGCTGTCCAGGGTAGGAAGCAGCATATTCATTTCCTGCCCACGTGAGTCTGAGACAGTCTCACTTGATTACCGAGCAGTAGCCACTTGTTTGGCTTTTGATAAAACATTGACACAAACCTTTTTCCTAATGTCTGGCTCATGTGAAATCAACATGAGCTGCAGCTTGTCAGAAGTGGCTTGTGTTTTCGCCTTCTGTCCTTACTGCCTGTGTCAGACTTACATCTGAGAGTAAAGCTTTTCGGTCTGCCCTGTGACATGCTGTATTGCTAGAACTCTGTCTCTACCAATCAGCCTGCTTCGTGTTTATCGTTGATGAACTGTAAATATAACTATTACTTTAAGTTTATAATCACTAAACATAGGAGTATTGTTCTTTTGTTGCTATTTATTTCAATGGTTTCTGAAACTTTATTTTATTTTGGGGCAGGAGATAATGGCTCAGTCATTAAGCACACTGGCTGCTCATGCAGAGACCCAGGTGTGGTTCCAACACCCACATGGCAACTAACAACCATCTGTAACTCCAGTTCCAGGGAGTCTAACACCCTCGTCTGGCCTCTGCAGGCATTGTACATATGTGGCGCACTTATATACATGCATGCAAAACACTTATACATATAAAATAAATCCAAAAAATTTTTTTAAAACAAACTTTTTTGTGTGTGTGCATCATGTGTGTGCTGTGTCTGAGAAGGTCAGAAGAGGGCATTGGAGCCCCTGGAACTGGAGTTGCAGGTGGTTGTGAGCTGCTTACGAAAGTGTTGAGAGCCACACCAAAGTCCTCTGCAAGTGGAGCAGCTGCTCTAAACACCAAACATCCCTCCAGCCCCTTACATTTATTTATTTATGGATATGTGTCTGTGTGAATGTTTGCCACATGAATGTAGTATCTGAGGAGGCCAGAAGAAGGCATCCCATTTCCCTGGAGCTAGACTTACAGGCAGTTGTGAGCTACTGACCTGCTGGGGACTGAACCCAGGTACTTCCAGGTGGGCGTGGTGGCACACACCTTTAGTCCCAGCACTCGGGTGGCAGAGACATGCGGATCTCTGTGAGTTCAAGGCCAGCCTGGCCTACATAGCAAGTTCCAGGACAGCTGGGGCTACAGGGAGACCCTGTCTCAAAAAGACCAAAAAAAAGTTCTTCTAGGAGCTGGGGAGATGACTCAGTAAAGTGCTTGGTTTTCAAGCATGAGGACCCAAGTTCTGTCTCCAGCATCCATGTAAAATCCAGGTGTGACATCAGCCTCCACACACATGCAGCCACCCACACACATGGATACATACACAAATGCACACAAAAATAAAATAAAACCTTTTATATCTATCTATATCTATATATAGATATAGATAGAGATATAGATTTTTTTTTTTTTAAAGTACTTCCAGGGGCTGGAGAGATGGCTCAGCATTCTGTGTTCTGCTCAACACTGGTTGTTCTTGCAAAAGACCCAGTTTCGAATCCTAGCACCCACATGGCAGCCAACAACGGTCTATAACTCTAGTCCCAGGGGATCCAACAGCCTCTTCTGACCTCCGCGGGCATTGCACGACACGGGTGCACTGACCTACATGCAGGCAGTAGTACATGCATACACATAAAAGAAAAAAATAAAATTTAAAAAATGTACTTCCAAATAAAATTCATACATTTTCAGCTTCAGGAGCTGGAGAAATGCTCAGCGGTTAGGAGCACTGGCTGTTTTTACAGAGGACCCAGGTTCCATTCCAAGCACCCACATGACAGCTGTAACCCACATAACCATCTGTAACTACAGTTCCAGGGGAGTCTGACACCCACTTCTGACCTCCATGGGCAGTGCACAACACGGGTGCACTTATACACATGCAGGCAGTACATGCATACACTAAAATAAAACTAATAAATAAAAATTTTTTAAAAAGAAGCACTTGCTTTTGCAGAGGATCCAAGTTCAATTCCCAGCACTCATATGGTGGCTAACAACCATCCATACCTCCAGTTCAGGAGATTTGATGCCTTCTTCTGACCTCTGCAGGTATTGCACAAAACGGGTGCACTTACACACATGTAGGCAATACACTCCATACACATATCATAGAAATAATAAAACATTTTAAAAAAGAAACATTTTCAGCTCCCCAGTGCTAGTTTGTAAACAGGAAGCAAGCGTTAAGATCTCCTATGAATGTGACATACAGGATGCTCACACGTGTGTGTAACATGCATAGTAGCAAGCACCGGGCAGGCTCTCCCTCAGTGCTTGCTGTCTCTGTGGGACAACGCTGTCCTCGGTCCTGTTCTACACTCAGGGACATCAGAGCTGGAACCCACACTCAGCACTCTGGCTGCGGAGTCCTTTGCGCCCACCCCACTGTCCTGACTGTAAAGAACAGCCTTTCCCAAAAATATTGACAGGAAAAACAAACGCAGCATTGGGCTCGCAGTGATCAGTACTCCCACACGTCCTCCGTGCGTGCTGTGGAAGCTGCTGCCCAAGCGCTCTTGTCTTACGCTGAGACTGTGGATTGTAAGTAATCGCTTGCTTTTCCTGTCTTTGTTCCCTATTTTTAGGTTTAAACTTTCCTGGAGAAATGCCATATCTTACATTTTCTGTGTTTCTGAAGAAAAACAAAAGTGTTTGAAGAAAAGCAAAACGATAAACAGTGCCACAGGCTAGCCCCAAGTCATGATAAGACATACAGACAGAGCGGGGCGAGGGTTCTGTCTGAAAGTCCCATGTCCCTGTGCTCTTCACCACAGTGCTGTCTTCCCAGTTGTCCCCACACTCTGAAAGGGCCCTTCCATTCCTCCGCTGTTGTCCCTGCCATCGTCTCATCTTACTGTTCAGCTGGGCAAGGTTTCTCACACGCACCTTCACCCCTGCTGCAGACACCCTCCTCACCTCAGAGCAGCACTGCACATGTGTTCTCCTTCCTGCGCTTCTGGAAGGTGAATCAGACAGTTTGGTCCTCCCAGACCCCGGCTCAGGACCCTCTGCTCTTTCCCACTGCTTACCAGCCCAGCACAACAGCCCTTGGCTCTGCTGAGCAGCTCAGTAACCTGAGGCTCAGATGTGCTTGTGGCCCCTTCCTTCTCATGTCCTGCCCTCCTTTTACATCTTAGAGCTAGCTGTCTGTGTTTCTCGCCTCTCCCTCGATGCATGTCCTTCATGTTAACCTTGAAGTTTCATTGTCAGCGTCAGTGTGCTTTTCACCTGTGAGTGTGCAGTGGAATTGTGTGCATTTGACAGCAGGCTGAATACTCGGGTTGGGGACCTTTGTGGGCAGAAGGGCTCAGTGGAACCCTGAAACTCTCCTTCCCTCGCAAAGACAAAACCACAAACCCATTTTATCCTGGGTAAACTGTTGGAAATTAGGCTGCCGTCACAGGCTTGAAAATGCCAGCAAGTGAAACCTATTACACCCGACTCAGCTCACTTAGAAAAGGCAGAGGTGTCAGGCATGGTGACGCAAGTCTCTAATCCCAACACTCATGAGGCAAAGACAGGTGGCTCTCTGTGAGATCGAGGCAAGCCTGCTCTACGTAGCAAGTTCCAGGCCAGCCTAGTCTACATAGCAAGTTCCAGGCCAGCTGGGGCTACAGGGAGACCCTGTCTCAAAACAAAAGTCAGAGATGGCCAAGCATGGTGGTGCACACCTGTAATCCTAGCAGTCAGGAGGTTAAAGCAGGAGAATTTCAAGTCTAGTGCCAACCTCAGTACATACTGAGACCTTAAAAGGGTGAAGGAAGGAGGGAATCGTGGAAGAACTGTCAGGTGCATCTTAGCAATGGATGTGCAGTATCCTAAGCTGTAGGTCAGTTGCAGATCACAAGTCCTGTCCAGATGAGGTGTATCCTAACAGGCTTTGTGTTCACACAGCACATCCCAGGCCTTGCTACACAGCTATTGACCAAGCTAATTGTTTTCTCTCCATCCCATTTGCATGATCACCAGGCGCAGTTTCTTTATCCTGATCTTGTTCACAGGGCTGACGGTTAACCTGCACGTTTTTGTCTTAGGGCTGAGCCAGTCCCCCTACCTGCCATGTGTGAGAGTTGGTGGTCAGATGTCCACAAAACACCACACTGCTCTGCCTTGCTGTGTTATGCCATTCACATGTGATGGTTAGGAAGAAGTGGGCACTTCAGACACCTCAGCAGGAATTTTGGACTAGAGAATGGAAGAGTATAGACCTTGCCCTTGACCACATTGCTTGGTCGAGCCCAGAGACTGAAACTTCTCCAGTATCTGAACAGGGAAATAGTGTATGTGATTATTAACCAGCAACTTTGGGGGACGAAAAAGGACTCTGAAGAAGGCAGGTGTTGGCCTGGGGTGTGGCTCAGTTAGGAGAGCACATGTTTGACATGTGTGAATGTGTGAAGCCTTGGGTTCAGTTGCTAGCACCAAGAAAAAAAGAATGCAGAAATAGCTAACACAAGCTGCATGCTTGCTGTCAGAGATGAGGGAGAGCATCTAGAGAGGAGGAGACTGGGGAGTTGATCCAGACCTGTAAGAGCAGGACCTGCTGCGTGCCCACAGCAGTTGTTTAAGGCTGAGGATAGCGTCTGACATTCCCACTATACCAATGAAGGAGTGGAGGCAGGTTAGCTAAGTGAACCAAGGTCAGGGAGTATGCTTTTCACCTGTGAAAAGGAGAGGGAGAAGGTCAGGGAGATGGCAGGTAACACTCAAAGCCGTGTGCCTTCATGCCTGTCCTGACAGCAGGAGCCGAACACATGACCCAGAGGCTGTGTCTTGTACTCCTGTTCCACTTGAGCCTCGGCCATACAGGAAGGGGTCACCTGGACCACTTGTTTTGAAATCAGGAACTCTGAACTGTTGAGCTGTTGAGGCCATGTTTGGGGGTCATCTGCACAGATCAGCTTTTACAGCTTCATCTAACTCTTTCAGGGATGTTGGGTTAAAATTTCAAAAAGATTATTCTGAAAGACCACGTGTCCACTTACCAGGGCAAATGGCCCTTCTAAATCAAGACATACGTTGGCAGGCGTGGTGGTGCCCACCTTTAATCCCCGCACTTGGGAGGCAAAGGCAGGTGAATCTCTGAGAGATTCAGGCCAGCCTGGTCTACATAGCAACTTCCAGGCCATCTAGGGTTACAGGGAGACCTTGTCTCAAAAAGAAAAAAAATATTTAAAAATTATATATATATATATGACATATAACTGAAAATGGTCACTGGACACTAAAAAATAAAAACCTGTGGAGGTGGTCCAGTGGATACAGGTGATCCCAAGCCTGACTACCTGAGTTCAATTTTTGAGACCCACATGTGGACTCCTGAAAGTTGTCCTCTCACTTCCACAAGTACATCATGGCACATGCAAACACACGCATGTACACAAATAAAGTAATAAAAAAAATTTTAAGGCTTTTGTTTCTCAAAAGATTACATTAAAAAAAAATAGGGCTGGGATGTGGCTTATTTGGTGGAGTGCTTGTCTAGGATGCACAAAGCCCTGAGTTTGGTCTCCAACACCTCATAAATCAGGTGAGGTGGTACATGCCTGTAATCCCAGCACTCAAGAGGTAGAGACAGGAGGATCAGGAGTTAAGGACCAGCCCTAGGCTACATAAGACCCTGTCTCAAAAATAAAAGAACACTTAACCTGGTAGGGGAGATACCATGATCACAAAGGTGTTTTTCCCAGGGTGAGGCTTATCTGTTGCAGACCCCTTTGATTTCCCCAGATGTGGGAAACTACTGCATAGTTTGTAGTACAGGGGACTGCCTTCAGACTTTGCCCTTAATAATTGGAGGGAGGGAGGGAGAGGGAGGAAGGAAGGAAGGAAATGAAAAGGCAGACTACATGCTTAGAAAAAAAACTCAAAATCTCTCTGTCTAGGGGCTAGAGAGAGGTCTCAATGGTTAAGAGTACTGGCTGCTCTTGGGGAGGACCTAAGTTCAGTTCTCAGCACCCCTGTGGCAGCTAACAACCATCTATAACTCTAGTTCCAGGGGATCTGATGCCCTCTTCTGGCCTCCGCAGGTATTGCACATATATGCAGGCAAAACACATATGTGCAAAAAATAAAAGTCAAAAAAATGTTTTAAACATATATATCTAACAAAGAACTCATATTCACTGAATATAACATATCTGACACTCAATAATAAAATCATAAACTTGTTTTCTAAAATGAGTAATTCTTTAAACAGACATTAAGTAACCAGTAAGCTCATTCCCAAATGCTTACCATGTTAGCCTTCAGGAAAGAGCCTGCCATTATAATGGCTAAAGTCTTCAGAAAAATGACAGCACCAAGAGCCAGTGATGAGACCCAGCAGTTGGGATTCCTGTGCCTTGCTTATTGGAAAGGGGCATTTTCTCATCATTTAAGTGACTTATGTCCTTTCTGTAGAATGCAGCAATTCTGTAAGTCTACAGAAAGACCCTGGTGGGGGCTGGAGAGATGGCTCAGTGGTTAAGAGCATTGACTGCTCTTGCAGAGGACCTGGATTTGATTCCCAGCACCCACATGGTGGCTACGAACCATCCTTATCTCCAGTTTCAGGGAATCCGAAGCCCTCTACTGACTTCCGCAGCATTGTACGACACGGGTGCACTCACATACATGCAGGCAGTACACTCATACACATAAAATAAAAATAATAAAATATTTTTTTAAAAAGGCCCTAGTGTTGCCGTAAGTTTTATTTACATAGCCCCAAATTGGAAGGTGTCCAGGTGAAGGGGCAGATGAGGGGTGGGTGAGCAAGTGTGACAGGACTCTGTTTAGGGATAAGCATACTGAAAGGCTGGGCAGATGGCTCAGCAGTTACCAGTGTGCACTGCTCTTGCAAAGGACCCAAATTCAGTTCCCACAGCCCACCTCTGGTGGTGCCCAACTGCTCCAGGGGATCCGATACCCTCTTCTGCCTCTGTGGGCAGTACACTCACGTTCAGACACCTATACACAGACACACACAGGCACGTACTAAAACAATAAATCTAAAGCGGAAGCAGTATACCACTGATGTGAGCAGACCCCAGAGCTTCAGTGCGCAGTAGAAGCAGCAGGTTGGGAATTCCCGTTCCGTGGGATGCACCCTGGAGTCTGATCCTTCCTGTCTGGTGACAGCAAGCACAGCTGTGGTTCCTGGAAGTGCAGTGTGGGTTTTGTGAGTTCTCCGTATGGGCTGGTGGCGTGTGGCATTCCATTGTCTGTGTGTGTTCCTCGTGTTGCAGTGTGTTTCTGACTCCCTTCCCTGTCTGCTGACTTTGTTTCCAGGTGGATCTATCTTAACGATCAAAACTTGTGCATCCCTGCCAGTTCATCTTTCGTCTACGGAGCTGTCCCCATAGGAGCCAGTATCTATGTCATCGGAGACCTTGACACAGGTAAGCGCTGTGCAGTGGTTTTCCTGGGGCCTGTGTCCGGTGGCTCAGACGTGCGCTGGCTCAGCTCCGCTCACTTTCCGGGTGTAGGTACCAACTATGACTATGTGCGTGAGTTTAAGAGGAGCACCGGCACCTGGCACCACACGAAGCCGCTCTTGCCATCTGACCTTCGCCGCACGGGCTGTGCAGCCTTGCGCATAGCAAACTGCAAGCTCTTTCGCCTGCAGCTGCAGCAAGGCTTATTCCGCATCCGGGTCCATTCCCCTTGAGGAAGCTGGGAGCCGAAATCGAGATCCTGCCCCTAGCGCGCATCACACAGCCGTAAAGGAGAACAGAGAAACAGCCGAGCCTTGCGTGTGCTGGGCTTTGGGATGGTTACTCTTTGGTGGTTTTTTAATGCTTAGAGGCCTGGGCTTCTGCTCTTATTTGGAGAATGTGGAACTGTTGAAAAACTACCCGGGAGGAATCAATTCCTCTAGCTAGATGCGTCCATAGACCATGGAGCCTAGTGGATGTCCAAAGGAAGAGGGTGTGGGATTGGTGTCATATATAATAGCAACGTCAAAATCTTAAGGTGCGTTTTCCCTGAGGGGAAACTCATACCCTACTGACTGCTGTGTTCAAGTGTATGTGGCTGTGGTTTAAAAAAAATCATACATGCAAAGCAACGTATCCAACATACCAAGATTGTCTGTGTACTGACTTGGAAGGGTATGCTGCACCTAGTCCTACCCAGTGAATTGAGATTGTCCAATGTGTTAGCTCGGACACCATGCCAGTTAGTTTCCATTATTATTAGTGCTCTGTCCTAAGACTCTTAGAACTATATTATGGTGAATTGAAACTAAGACAAAAATCCTCTTTTATAACAATCTAGTAATGTAAAAATTTCAGTCACCTGGAGGGGTCAAGTCCTCAGCCTTTGTGTGAACTTAAAGGAAGTTGCTTACCTTAAAGATCCGAGTTAGTCCTGGGTGATGCTGCGGAGTCCTGAAGGCTGCATTCTTAGCAGAACCATTCTCTGTTCTCCAGAATCTTAGTTGGGAGAAGGCTTTAAAAAAGAAAAGACCCAAGTTGAGCAAGTAATAAAGATGGGCCATGACTAGAACATTAAAACAAATTTTTAAAAGCTGTCCAGATAAAATACACAGGGGTCCAAACCTAGTATCATCTGTCTGAAAGCACACCAAGTCTTGTTTACTGTTGAGGAGTTAAGACCGTATCTTCGAATGCAGGTGTATGTTTAGAATCTCATCTTTGTTACAGGCCTCAATGCCACGCACTGGTAAGAATTTCAGATGAATTACGCTCCAGTAACGTTCGGCTGGTAGAATAAACTACCTCAGCTTGATTTCATTCTGTTCCTATCAGAGCGATTATTCTCCTGTTTTCCCTCTTTTCCATTACTCACTACCCTCTCCGCCCCACTCCCATTAGGGACAACGAATTCTTTCATTAGTGGAATTTATTTTACAAAAAACATTTTGTTTTCCATTCAGATTAGACCACCTTGATGTGAAATCAGGGACGTCAGTGTGCTCGGTCACTTCCTAGTTTGAACAGTATGCAATATCACATTTCTAATACAAAGCGCTTCATTTCTAATTGTTTTCTACGGGTTTCTTTCTCTCAGAATATAGCTATAAGAAGCAGCATTTTATCTTAATGATAACTAAGTTTATGACTACATCCTTTGGTTGTAAATTTAAGAACAGGAATTTCTTCTAGAAAGTTCCTATGTGAGATGTTTATATGCGGTTAGCGTGCATATAAAACATCAGTCGTATCCTCCCACCCATGGACATGAATAAGGGCGACCTTCCTGCAGGGCTTTTCTTACACCTGCTGGGAGTAAGTCAATGTTAACAGAAGCTGTTGAAAGGAGACCAGGCCCCTGGGGTTCTGAGAGGCTGGTCGCGGCTTCCTGTGGCCAGAGCTTCTTGGCAAGAGACGGTCCAGGTTTTTATCTAATGTGCAATGGCTGTAGGCCAGACGTGCCTCCTGTTTACACCATCCAGTCAGCTTCAACGTCAGTCAAAGCCAGGCTTGGACTGTGTTGGGTGCACATTTCCCCCATGATCCATTGTGAAGGTTTTCAGCAAAGTAAGCCACTCCTGAGAAAGAGAGCTTTATTGATGGCGAGATGGTTAGCTTCAGAGGAGAGAAAGTACCAGAAGGGCCAAGCTGGCTTTGGTGAAGTACCTGCACAGAGCAGCCGTGGCTTGCCAGAGCCAAGCAGGAGCCGAAATCCCAGGACAGCCACAGTAACTGTGCTCTTTTTTCATTCCTGGGGTTTAAAGTTTTTTTCAGTCTGTGTCAGGCCTCTCCAAGGAGACACTTGATTGTCCAGATGCAAATGGGTCTGACGGCAGTATTACCAGTGCCTGCTGACTTGGTCAATTCACTTTAAAAAATACGTTTTAAAAATTCTGCTCATTAACACTGTAGCACAGAAATCAGATAATATTTTATAAAATAAATTTGTGACTTAAATATGGGATGCAATAACCAACAACAGCTGCTAAGTGCCAAACTTATTTTAACTATATATATGTATATACGCAGATAACATTGTGTTGAAGAGTAGGGCTCTATTTAATTTTATTATTGTTCCAAAATCAATCATGACCTTTTTGTAAACTGCTCTCATTTTAGTGTTGTGAAATAAATTGTACGTCATTTCATGCAGGTTTCTTTCCTTAAACCCCCTTATATCTTGGGAAGTCTTTTCTTGGTGAAGTTTCAGTTGCCCTTTCTCCATAAGGTACTTTTATCAAGTACGTGTTGCATTTAGCAGCTGAGGCTGGTTTCTAACATTTTAAACACAAATATCTTTGGGGGAAGTGCAATTTGTGCTCATGATCAACAGAAGGAGCCATAGTCTCAGGTTAGGGTAGGTGAGCATTCAGGGGAGATATCCTAGGCTGAATTCTGACGTAGGCTTGCTTGTTTAACATAGCCAAGCATATTTTTTTTTTTAGAGATTTAAGTGCTTAATTTAAAATGAAGTTTACCTTTTTTTTTTTTTTTTTTGTCTTTTTGATACAGGATCTCCCTGTAGCCCCAGCTGGCCTGGAACTCACTATGTAGACCAGGCTGGCCTTGAACTCACAGAGATCTGCCTGCCTCTGCCTCCCGAGTGCTGGGTTTAAAGGCGTGCGCCACCACGCCCGGCCGCCCCTCCCCCCCTTTTTTAATTTCAAGAGTGCTTATATCCTGTGAGAAGAAAAAGTGTGATAGTTGAGTGCGTGTATGTATGCATGCACGTGTGTGCGTATGTGTGTGTTGTGTCACATAACTTAATAAGTCTGTCTGTATATGTTTACTTTTGAATCGTAGTTCCAAACTACATACACTCCTGTCTCCTGGTGCTTCTGATAAGTTCTTGAGCCTGTTGACCTTGAGTGAAACACACTGCATGTAAATATGGAACTGGTTTTAGTTTGTCGTCCGTTTTCCTTGGTTTGCGTTTCTCTTCGTTGGCAGATTAAAGACCGTGTATACCAGTGAGGAGCTGGTATGTGAGGAAGGTGCGGCTAAGGGTGAGTGTGCTGTTTCCTTGCTGTGAGAGCGCTGTGCTGGGATCCTCACACTGTGAAGCAACCAAAAGAGACTGCCGGGCTTGCTGGGCTGGACAGACCTCGTTTGTGCTGACGTGCTGGCACGTTGTCCTGCCATAGACAGTTCTCTCCTCCCTGGTGCTCTGTTGTTTTTACTGTTTAAAAGTGGGGTGGGGGCTCCCCTAGACAGTGTCTAGGAAGCACATTCTTGGTGTGGAGGTGGTGAAGGTAAGGCTGTCCTTGCTGTGGTGCCTCAGATCCTGGAGGACTTGAAGCCAGGTCCCTAGGGAATAGCTGACTCTCCTCCAGGGCTCCACCTGGTACCTCCTACCCAGTGCGCTATCCCAGGAATCCCGGAAGTCCTTCAAGCAGTGCTAAAAACCCTGCAGTGCCCCTTCTACGAAGCTGGCTTTCCTGATTGCCCGGATGGAGGGATGGAGACATTTGGTGCTCTGGGAAGGAATGAGATGGCTTTCATTGCATGGACTTAGAGGCGCTGACATCTCCTGAGAAATACCCACTGTAAGGCAGGCGAGGCTTCTTTGTTACCTGACTGCCCTTAGCCACATCACGGAGGAAGCTAGTGATAGCTGAGGCTTGACAGCCTGCCCTGGGTCAGTCAGCATATGCTTACTGAACATCTCCCAGGAACTGTGCTTGCCTTCTGGGAACCTAACAGGGAGGCAGGTGGGACACAGCCCTGTCTCTCTGCCTTGGAAAGTTGCTGGCACTTGAGTGAGGACCCAGCTGTATCTGCTGATAATCTTGGCATTTGCACAGACAGTGAGTGTACCTCCCCTGCGGGGCAACATGGTGCTTAGCACTAGGCGGAAACGCTCTGAGCGAGTCTTCGGGATTTTAAATGCGAAGCTGCATAGATGGGCTGAGCTCATATGGAGAGGAAGCTACTGCAGTCAGAAAATCCAAGTCCTCATGTCCCCACCACACCGGCCGTGTTCTCCAGCTGTTCTGTGGGCTTTTGAGGCCTCTGCCTAGTATGCTTCGTAATGTTTATTGTGTTAATGTTAGGTTGATTTGTTGCTTTTTTTTTAATGGGCTCAAAGTCTTTTCCAGAACTTAATGCTTTGATCCTTACATCTCCAGGATGGATGGGGTGCTCTCTCCTTCCTACAAAGAAAACTCCAGTGTCGTAGCAGCCCAAAGTCTAAGCCAGACCTTCGGATTATCAAGGGTGGTTCAGCCTACTCAACAAGAACTTGATTTTTCTTGACACAAAAATTTTATTTCTTAAAATTTACATCATTGTGATACAGTCTCAGCTCTCAGACAGAGCCTTTTTTGCACAGGTAGGAGCTGGAAGACCTGTGGTTCTCCCTGTCAGCTCTGGGGAATCTCAGAATGCCCAGTATCTGCCGGAAGTGAAGTTTGCTCATAAAGACTCAAGCTGATGCTTGGTGGAAGTTGCCCTTCCACCCCATGCAGTCAGAGAGGGGAAGAAAACTGCCTGATCTGCTGAGGGGCCTTGCTGCCTTTTGAATAGTCCCTGGAGACTTTACAGCTCACTTAGCTATAAATCACCGACATTTGTGGGGTAAAGATGAGCGCTAATCCTCTTGCCCCAGCTGGAGAAGGAGCTTGGGTGGTGTCTCCCTCTTGCTGCGGTAAAGTCTCATCACATTGAACTGTGTAGACGGTTTCTGCATGTCTTACAGATAAGCTGATGAAACTTTCTAAATTATGCTGTTTTTCAGGAGTATTTCTGTTATTATAAATTCACATATATCTCAGCATCATTTTGTTACATGTGTGACATGTGAGTTCAGTTAAGTTTTAAAATGCCTTGATACAGTTTAGGGAAAAAATGTGTTACTTTCAATTCTATCATTGGAGCTTTCCAAGTGATTGTTGAGGTTTTTTGTTGGGTTTTGTTTTGTTTTTGAGAGAAGATCTAACTGTGTAAGCCCAGGCTAGTCTAAAACTCACTATATAGCCCAGGTTAGCCTCAAACTCACAGCAGTCCTCCTGCTTCAGCTTTTCAGTGGCTGAGATCACAAATGTGAGCCACTGTGCCTGGCTCCAGAGATCGGATATTTAAATTCCTTTTATTTTATTTCTGAGACAAGGTTTTATTTGAGTGGCCCAGCATCAAGATCCCCTGCCTCAGCCTTCCAAATGCTGGGGTTACAGGAATCATGCTCAGCTTTTAGTGTGGAACGCTAACTAAGCTCTCCCATTGTTTCTACTGAAATTTAGCCCAGTGATTTTTTTTTTTTTTTTTAAAGACCAGTCTTACCATGTATCCCTGGCTGACTTGGAACTTACTGTGTAGACTAGGCTGGCCTACAACTCACAGAGATCCTCCTGCCTCTACCGCAGATTAAAGGCATGTGCCACCATTCTGGGCCCAGTGATAAAGTTTGATATTGACATCCTCATGGCTCAACCAAGTTGTCAAGCTTCCATTGCTACACATTTGCAGTGAAGGAAGAAGAGGAAGAACTGTCTTTCCAAAGACAGAGTCCCACTGGGAAGATGGAAGGGAGGGCAGCCAGCCTGTTTCTGTGGCACCAGTAAGCCAGGGCCGTTTCGATCGCTCACACCGCAGATATGTGTAAGTCCATCCTCCTCGGCCGCTTTTTACCATTTCAGCAGCAGCGGCAGTGGAAGTTCCTTATCTTTAGAGTCCTTCCTCATCTATGACACACATTAGACCCTTGGGCTACATTTTTTTCCAAGCTGTCCCAGCGAACTTGGCTCTCCAAAGCTTGCTTTACCCTCTTTCCCTCTATTTGGATGAGAATTACTTACATTTATTCCTCTGTTCTCAGCTACCTCATGATGTAGTTGTTAGGCTTGATCTCCTGCCAGATGAGAAGAATTCAACGTTCTGTCCTGTAAAAAAAAAAAAAAGCCTGGAAATAAGAAGCAAGTGGCCTTGAGGAATACAATCCTCTGAGGCGTATTTTCCATTTTCCTACTTTTTTTTTTAAATAGGCACTTTAAATCCGGAGGAACAATAATTCTCCTGGAGCTACTGCAAAGTGATTACTTGAAGCTCAACTTGAACTTTAAAGAGTCTTTTTAAAGGCTATGTTTTCCTGTAGCAGAAAAGTAGTATATTTAAACATTACTGCTGTGTAAAATGGAGGGCTTAATTTCTGTCCTTACTAGGATCAGAGAGCAAAACATATATCTGTAATTTGATGCAGCATTTTGGAACTTAGATCTTGAGGCTACTGTTTTTATGTTTCTAACAAGGTGCTGTTACTTCCCAAGAATTTTTCATTTTAATGGAAATACAGACCCCTCACTACATTCTCTTCCTCCTTCAGTTCTGATAACCTCAGGAGGTAAAATGAAACAGATACCTTCCAAGTAGAGTGTTGATGTTGGCAGGGTTTTATAGAATCACGTTCTACTTAAAATCATGACCTGTCTGATGTGTCCCGTGTACTGGGGGACTGTCCTACATGCCCAGTGCATGCCTTCTCCATCGTTGGCTCTGTATCGCCCTGGCTCTGGGTTCCCCTAGTCCCCAAGTCAGGAGTTAGTGTTCATAGGAATACCCAGTCTCAGGCCGTAGTTGTACCTGGCCTACCTAAATGGAGGACTTCATTAGTCCTCAGAAGCCAGAAGACGGCTATGGTCCCACCCGCGCCTCAGAGCCCTGCCCTCCCTTCACAACCAACCCTCCCCTCAGCTCTGCTGCTCGGAGTAACTGGAGCACCTAAACAATCTAAAGACTTGTTCCAAGGCATTCAGATTTAATTTGTGTGCTGGTGCTTTTCAGAGTGAGCAAGGCTTGTCCTGACACTGGAATGGTAGTTAAGGCAGTGTCTGCCCCAGCTGAGCTGCAACAGAACCCCGTGGCTTCTATGAGTGACTTCCAAGAGAACAATTCCTTCCCTTCCAACGTACGCTCCAGAGCCTATGGTTTCAGAGCACAGGCTCTGGGGTCAGGGAATCTGGGGTTGAAGGTGTTTGCCACAAGTGTGGGAAGCACTCTAGTCCTTCCCCAGCACAGCATGGTTCATCTGGGGGGGCGGGGGGCAGATGAGCTGAAGTGATGACTGTGGTGCCTTTCACACGATGGTAGCTGTCACCACTCACTCGTTCTGTCAGCTGTCCACGTGGTGCTGCAAGGCGTGGGACCAGTAAGGGCT